TAGTCTAATGCGTACAGTAACTTAAGAGGATTCACGTAGGCAGCAGTTTATTTGATTGATGAAGCTCAAGAATCCGGGAGATCTCTGATCCTCTAGTCCTCACCCTGGTCATGGTTGCCATAGTACAGACACTGCCGTTAACGCCTCCCGCTAGTGTAAACAGGAGGCACCCGCCCGTGCACGCACACTGCCGCATCCCATTCCACCGGAGTGACGATCGTGTCCGGTTCCCAAAGCAGGCGTGTGCGTACGCGTGTCTGTTGCTGCAGGCAGGCGCACAGCGTGCCGCGAGCAACACTCAACGTGGCCGGCTGCAACTGTCTGACGTCTGGTGACGCATCGTCGTGATGCGCGCATGAGTTTGCATGAACACATCTGCCCACCAAAATGATCGATCGATACCCATGCGTGTGCGTGCGTGCGTATCTGTGTCTCCCGTTTAGGCTTCCCCTTACCATCCCCCTCCGCCTCTGCCCGCCCCACATCACACCGGCAAGGCACGGCACTGTCTGTGAAGGAGGCGGTCTGTTCTCACGCCAGACACTTCATAAATTGGAGGGCGCCTGCTGGGTGTGCGTGTAGAAACGCGTACCACGCACACACCCGTTCGCGTACTCCGTGATACTTCAAGACTGCGATTTGCACTTTTCAATTTCAATACCTGTGTTGATGTACTGGGATTCGACAATTACCGTGCCATTTAGCATAATTTTTATCCGCCATATATCTATTTGTCAGAAATTGATTTTCATTCAATTTTCAACTCCGCTTGAAGATTTCTTAAACTAACAAGAGGGTAGCTTTTATAATTTTTGTTCTTACTTCAAGAGAAATGAGGCACTATCTACTTAATCAGAGGGCGCTTACCATAATTAGCAACCTATCATTATGCATCAAGTGTGTCAGTCGGAAAACGCGATTTTTTTGAGTTTTGCTGACAGATCTCACATAAAGTTGCGATTGTACCGCACAAAAAGCGCTGATTCTATGACAGCTGAATGCCCGCCGGAAAAAGAGGAGTCGAATCTCAGGTTGTAGTGTGCTGGACATCCATTATGCCATCCAATTGTAGAGGTCTTGTTGTCTACACAGCTCGAGAATCTTTGTCCAATCACCTCACATTATCCGCAGTGCATCAGTGATGAAACCCCTACGTAGATTTTGTGAGGAGGGAGCTCAAAAGACCTAGGACATAGCCTTCATCCCTTGAAGAAAGCATTTAACAATGAAAATGTAATTTGCATTCCCCCTTGCCAGGTAGTTTCATTTCCTTTTCTACTGCCCTAAGAATGAACTCAGTTAAGTCGATAGTCTTGAGCAGCTAGCAAACCTGTTTTGACAATTCAACATGCGCACAGCCATTTTTTGCCA